TGTTGGGTCTGAGGGCTTGTGGGGCATTCAGGTGAAGAGGTCCAGGCAGGAAGCTGGAGGCCTCTGATAAGTTCTGTCCTTACGGTGAAACAGATCCACCTCATGAGGTCCAGACAAGCTGGCAGTGGGTATTTTTGATGCTGGACCTGCAAACAACCAAGAACAGGTCTGGCTTATATAGAATGCCACCTCCTTTAAGGCTGCTGGATATGATTTCAGGTATGTGAATGCCTAAAAATAATAATAACAATAGCATCTAGCCCTTTCAGTAAGTCCTTTTGGATAAACCCCAACTGGCTCTAGCTGGCAGCTCTCTGCTGGTGGCACCTCCTCCTCCCCCATTGTATATTCTTCAAAATCAGCAGTTTTCAACCTTGGCTCTGCATTTGAAACAACTGGAAAATTTTATGAGGATTAAGAGGAATGACAGAAAGTTTCCCGGCAGATGGAAGATGTTGGTCACAGTCTTCTTTCTGCCCAAAAAGTGAGACTAGACCCCTACCTCCCTCTCCCTCTCCTGGACCAAAAGGGACCCTGTCTGTGAAAGGATTTGTGAAATGCAAAGCTTTATTCAAATGTAAATTATAACCTTTACCTTTAACTTCATAAGAAGTCAAAGATCTTTTTATTTTTAACTTTTTACTATGGAAAACATCAAACTATATAAAATAAAGAGAATAATATAATAAGCTCTTATTATGGAACCATCACTCAGCTTCAAAAATGATCAATTCATGACCAATCTTATTTTATTTATAGTCTCACCCACTACCCCCTCACTGGATTATTTTTATCATATCATTCATAAATATTTCAGCATGTATCTCTAAAGGATAAAGAATATTTTTTAAAGGCCACAATACTATTATTACACTTAAAAATTATCCATAATTCTTATATACTAAATATCCTATCAGTATTCACATTTCCCCCACCAACTTACCTCTTTGTTTATTCAAGTCAGGATCCAAATAAAGCTCACCAGCTTCTAATGATCTGTCTCCCCAAGCTCTTTCCATGTGGAGATTCTGCCTCCATCTCTTTTTGCCCTTGTAATTCATTTATTGAAGAAACCAAGGCATTTGTCTTATAAAGTTGCCTTCAGTCTAGATTTTACTGATTGCATCTTCCTGATTTTTTAAAAATAAACTTTATTTTTTAGAAGTTTTAGATTTACAGAAAAAATTGTGAAGATAGTACAGAGAGTTCCCATATAGTCCACCCAGTTTCCCCTACTATTAATCTTCCTATTATTAATCTTACACTAGTATGGTGTATTTGTTATAATTATGGACCAATTTTGATATGTTATGATTAATCAAAGTCCATATTTTATCAGATTTCCTTATTTTTATCTCACGTCCTTTTTCTGCTCCAGGATCCCATCTAGGACACCCCATTACATTTAGTCATCATGACTCCTGAGGGTCCTCTTTGTTGTGACAGTTTCTCAGACTTTCCTCATATTTGATGATCTTAGCAGTTTTGAGGTGTGCTGGTCAGGTATTTGGTAGAATGTCCCCCCACTTGGATTTGTTTAATGCTTTTCTCATTACACCCAGGTTACGTCATTTTGGGGGTAAGACCACTGACATTAAGTACCATAGGCATCACACTGTATTAAGGGTACATACTACCAACACGACTTATCACTGTTGATGCTGACCTTGATCACCTGGCTAAGCAAGGTTTGTCAGGTTTCTCCACAAAGCTACAAAGCTGCCCCCCCAGCCCCCATCTTTCCATACTGTCCTCTTGGGAAGGAAGTCACTATTCACAGCCCACACTTAAGAAGTGGGCAGTTATGCTCTACCTCCTTTAGGGCAGAGTATCTACGTTATTTCAAATTCTTCTGCATGGGAGATTTGCTTTCTTCTCCCTCATTTATTCACTTATTCATTATTTATATCGGTATGGACCTGTAGATATTTATTTTAGACTTTGGGTTATGATCCAATACTGCTTTATTTTGTTCAGCTTTGGCCATTGGGAACTCTTTCAGTTGGCTCCTGTGTCCCTCTCCCTTTGACATACTCCCATCAAACTCCCATGTTTTTTTTTCCCTTTTCATTTAAAAAAAATTGGGGCGTGGGTACATTTCCTTACTTTCTGGCATCATAAGATGCTCCAGGCTCATCACGTATCCATCGTGTATATTTCCTGCCCCAGTGCTTGAATCAGCCATTTCTCCAAGGAGTCTTGGTTCCTTGTATTGGAAAATGGTATTAGAAATCAAGATCTGGGCACTAGGTGTGCATGTTGCTACTGGGCTATCATTGCTTTTAGGCCCTGAGTTGACAGGGCAAGGACATATAAGTGTACACTAAGCCTTGTATATACATATATCCATAAATATTTCTCTACGTAATCACCTATTCCTAAATTAAGCTAAACACAAATTCATGCTGATGTCTCCAACTCTAATCCACTACCACATGGATCATTCTAGCTTCTTCCTGATATTTAAAAAATGTTGTTTTGTATTTCTTATAAAATGGTAGTTAGATCCAGATTCAAATTCAATTTTTGGCAAAAATATTTCATAGAAGATGGTATGTTCTCCCATCATGAGGCATAAAATCTGGTTTTCTTTTAGTGATGTTAGCAGCCATTGATGATCATTCCTTAGGATCTATTAATTCTGTAAAGTTTAAAAAATAGTAAAATTTTGATTGGCTCCATCTTTCTTCTTTGATTAACTGGAATTCTCTATAGAAAGAGAAACTTTCCCTCATCAACTATTTGGTAGCCCTGAGGTAGAGCCCATAAAAAAAGGCAGGATAAATGTTTGATTCTTTTCCTCAGTATTTTTTTAAAAATGAATCCATTCCCTAGCATCCTCTGAGGCTGACTACTGAGTTATTTTTGGTTTTGAGTACCATTATGAACCTGGAGTAGCTCTTGAGGCAGAGGGCATTGCTCATCATCTACCTCCAGCCTTGATCCTGGGCAATCTGCCTCAGGATGGAGGAATGGGGCGGCGGGGGGGGACGGCTAGAAGCTGGGTTCCTCCGGCAGAGAGCAGTTTGGAAAGGGATGGCAAGGTTGGGGGTCTTGAGGGCTTCCATTATTCATTCATCCTGAAAAAGCTCTGGTCTCCAGTCATTAATTCTTGTATAGCTGTTGCCTTGGTTTCACAGAGTTTTTCACGTTGCCTTAGAAATAGCTGAATCCACCTCTAAAAGCCTCCTCAAGCAACTAGGAAAGACAAGTACAACAGCCGGGAGCTCTGGAAAGGGCATGTTTACCCTAAATCCTTCAAGGAGGCCCATCTAGGAGAGAAACGAAGTCACCTTTGGAATGTTAGGGCAAGGGTTAGGACACTGGTTCTCAACTCTGGTTGGTGACTTATCCGAGTCACCTGAAACACATTTAAAAACCACCTATGCCTCAGCATCACTGCTAGAGATTCTGATTCAACTGGTCTAAGGTGGGACCCTGGAATTGGTAGTTTTATGAACTTTTTGCAAAGTGATTCTAATGTTTAACCAGAGCCATTTCCAAGCCCCCCAGAACTCTTAACAGGCTCATGAGCTGTGTCACACCTACAGTCTCATAACCTCGATCCAGTTGCCTAGTGTTAGAAGATGCAGTCTCTGCCATGTTATTCAGAAGACTAAGCTAGGAAAGATGATGCCAAGGACGTCTCACTCTCCCCTTGGGATGCTGAGGCCTGATGAGTGTGGCTGAGTTCCAATCCACGGGTCTCTAACGTAAGACACAGCATTCTGTCCCCACCCTGGACTCCCAAGGATGGCTACATTTACTCTGTGCTCCACAGTTCTAAGTGCTTTAAGCCTCTCAATCTCCCTAATAGGTTGGCATTATCTCCATTTAACAGATGAGCAACTGGGGCTCTGAGAGTTAAGCAGCTGCCTAAGGTCACAAGCCTGTATCTGGGTGGGTTCTTGGGCTCTTTCCTATCACGTGCTGTCACAGGCTGTCACTTACAGGCTGTGACTTTCAGCCCAGGCCCTCTCAAGGAGCTGCCTCCTCCTTTCCTTTGTGTGGTAAATACTGACTCTTCGTGTGAAGCAATCTACCACAGAGTGCAGAGACTGAGAAAAGATGGGGAAAACCTGGCCTGGGGTGAGGGATCCTGAAGCCCATTGCTGAGTAGTGGGCTGCTCCCCACCTGCCTTCACAGCTCAGTGGTCTGAGAGCGTGCGAGGAAAGTCTAGAAAGCTTAGGCACTTCGTCCACCTCTGCCCCCTCCTCACTCTCCCTCCTGTGCCCGCAGGGTTTCACACACAGCTCTTTCCTCACCCACCCTTCACCAGAGAATCTCATCCATCCTATCTATTCTATCCGCTGCCTACCGCCAACCCCCAATTCCTGGCTAAAACTACACTTATCATTGACCACCCATTTCCTACAATCCCCATCTCAAAAAATGACACCGCCATCCACCCAACTCTGACCTCATCCTAGCACAATTCTCCCCCAACATCCAATCAGCATTAAGTCCCCTCAATTCCACCACTGAGGATAGCTGTTACACCCATCGCTCCTCTCCACCCACCATGGCCCTAGGATAGGCCACGTCTCTGAAGCCAACTCGGCCTCATCTGCTTCCTAACCCTCACCCCCGCCTCCATGCTTCGTGTACCAGCCAGACCAAACCAGATATAGTTCCCTGAACGCTCCATGGGGTTCCTCCGGCTCCCAGGACTCGTCGCTAACTCCTGCTCAGGCTACAAACCTTTAGGTGCGTCCCAGCCCTCCCACCCGCTCGGGAAGTCCTACAGGCATTAGACTTGGACAGAAGCATTATCTACCTACTTCTCCCCGCGTCCGGAGCGCCCGCCACACCTCCAGCCCCGCCCCGGCCCGAGGCCCAACCCGGAGGAAGCTTTCTGCTTCCCTAGTGTCCACGGCCGTCGACGTCGCACACGCTGCGAGCCCCGCCCTGATTGGCTGCCGCCCGGGCCAGTCACCTCACCCCACCCCGCCCCCACGCGCCTCGGTTCCGCCCCTGGGCCCCGCAGGGATTGGTCCTGGCGGCCCCGCCCACCTGCCCACGTGGGTCTTCCGGAAGGCCGAGGGGAGAGCTTCGGCCATGGCCAGGGTCCGCAGGCTGGAGCTGGCGGAGGCCCTGGCGCTGGGGCCTAGCTGGCGGCACGCGTGCCACGCGCTGCTCTACGCGCCGGACCCGGGGCTGCTCTTCGGCCGCATCCCGCTGCGTTATGCCGTACTGGTGAGGAGGGGCGCGCCCGGCCACTCCCGGCCCTCCCCCCCGCCGCCTTCCCCGGGCGCGCCGCCTCGGGCGCCCCCGGCAATCCCCGCTCCCCTCTCCCGCAGATGCAGATGCGCTTTGATGGGCGCCTGGGCTTCCCCGGCGGCTTCGTGAACACGCGGGACGGCAGCCTGGAAGACGGGCTGAACCGGGAGCTGGACGAGGAGCTCGGCGAGGCTGCGGCGGCCTTCCGCGTGGAGCGCGCGGACTACCGCAGCTCGCACGCCGGGCCCGGGCAGCAGGTCGTGGCCCACTTCTATGCCAAGCGCCTGACGTTGGAACAGCTGACTGCAGTGGAGATTGGCGCACCGCGCGCCAAGGACCACGGGCTGGAGGTGGGGCCAGCCCGGGAATCCCATCCCCATGTCCTCCCTGCCACCCAAAACCTCTCCACAATTTCCTGGTGTAGTTGGGGTCTTGGCTTCTTTCATCTGGATGACTAACTACAGCCAACCTGGTCTTGCTGCAAAGGTCTCTCCCCTCTCCCCCCTTTACTGGCCTCTGCAGCTATCTTTCGAGAACACACCCATCCAGATCTCTCCTCGGCTCGCCAATGATAATGGCCAGGCATTGACCCTAAGCCCCGGTTTTTCTTGGGTAGGAGATTTGGCCTGATACCTTGTGGGGAAACCTTGGCACTTAGGCTAGGGCAGTAGGGAGACTGTATGGAGATGGTTCTCAAACTTTGGCAGGTATCAGAATCATCTGGGAGGCTTATGAAACAGTGATTACTGGCCCCACTCCCAGAATTGCTGGTTCAGGATGGGGTGGGGAGTAAGGACATGAGAATTGCATTTTTCAGAAGTTCCTAAGTGGTGCTGATATGGCTGGTCTGAGTACCACATTTTGAGAACTCCTGGTGTAGGGCCAAGCATGCACCCTGTAGGCAAGAGCCACTAAAGGTTTAGTGATGTGGGAAGGGGTAGCATTTATGGAACTGGACAGCATGACTTGGGTCATTTGTCTGAGAGAGCTGGGCCCATTAGGCTCTGTTAAGATATGAGTCCTCAGGCCTGGTTCTGCTGTACTATAAGGAGTGAGGCCTCTGATCTAGAAAGATCTGGCAGGGATGAGCTACATGGATTCCCAGTGTCTCCTGTTTCCTTCCTTTCACAGGTGCTGGGCCTCGTGCGGGTGCCCCTCTATACCCTGCGGGATGGTGTGGGAGGCCTGCCTGCCTTCCTAGAGAATTCCTTTATTGGAGCTGCACGGGAGCAGCTGCTGGAAGCCCTCCAGGACTTGGGACTGCTGGCATCTGGCTCTGTCGCAGGCCTTAAGATCTCAGCTCCTCACTAGAGGCAGCCCTCCATGGACCCATGCTGAGCTCAGGACGCTGGTATTGGATAGGGAGGAAGGAAAAAGGGAATATTTTCTCTTCTGGACCTGGGCCTAATAGATGACAACAGATTAAAAGATGTATGTACAGTATGTTCTGAGCAGAGGGCCCCCCAGCAACTCATGGCATCAGGGGCAAAAATCTGCAGCTCATCCAGGGGCCCTGGCAAATTCTCAGAGCCTGCTTCCTCCCTGTACAATTGCACACACACAGCCTGGCAGCCCCCAGACATGTCACAAGCTGTGCTCACATACAAGCTGATGTCTCCCCACCCCTGCCCCCTGCCCCACCATCTCCAGTTTAACCAGGAAGTGGCATGTGTGGGACCTAGCTTGTCACTGTACCCATCTCCTTGCTAGGGAGGAGTGTCTGAACCAGGGGAAGGTCTCTTCCCACACTCCTGCATGGCTGTTCTCCAGGATCTAGCCCGGCCCATACTTGTTGGGGAGGACAGAGAAGCAGAGGACCTTTTCCCCCGAAAGTGGTTGCATCCTTGCCTGGGGGTTGGCCAAAGCGGTGTACCCCTGCAAGGTGGTAGAGGGTCCTGACTGGCCCCCTGCCCTCTTCTCCTGAAACTGAGTAGAAGGAGTAGGGAAAGGGCTCGGTCTCCTTGGACTGACCTTGAACTTGAGAATTCTAAGTCCTGGTGCATCTTCTCCAGAGCTTTCATCTTTGGGACCCCTTAGACTCTGGGGACATCAGGAAACTGAGCCAGCCCTGGTATAGCCCTGCCCTGACAACAAGAGCCTCCCAGTAAAGAAGGGTTGATAGCTGGGCCTCAAGGCCCTTCCACTTCTCTCAACAAATAATCTGTATGAGGTGTTGGAAATCTCAGGATGAGAGAGCCGTAGGCCTCACCCTCCGCAGGCTCGGGAAACTTTTTCTTAAAAGGCAAATGGTAAATATTTTAGGCTTTGTGGGCCACATGGTCTTGGTAGCAGCAGCTCAACTCTGCCATGTCAGAAGTAGCAATCGACGATACATGAATAAATGGGTGTGGCTGTGTTCCAGTAAAACTTGATCTGAAAAGGGAGGTGCCCAGCCTGGAGGCCATAGTTTGCCAACCCCTGCTTTGTGATGCCTATTTATTTGCTTTATTTATGTCACTGTTAAGAAGGAAATAAAGAAAAGATTGATACAGGTCCTGCCTTGATATATTTTGCTTTTAGTTAGGTGGTCTGGAAGAGCCCTCAGAAGAGCATTTAAGCTGAAGGATGAGAAGGAAGGAGCCAGATAGGAGTGTGGGAAGAGTGTTCTGGGTATTCCAGGAAGTAGCATGTGTTAAGGCCCTGAGGCAGAATCTTGACAAATTATCCCAAAACAAAGGTAGGGGAATTGGACTCTATTTCTCAATTGGGGGCGGGAGGTTGGGGGGCAGGGGAGTAACAAAGAATTTGCCATCATCTTTAATTTACCAGAGCATGGTCTAGACATGGAAAAAGGCCAGTGTAGTTAGACTATAGGAAGCAGGGGAGACGAAGCTGGAGAGGCGGGCGGGGGCCAGATGGTGCAGAGCCTTCCACGCCCTGGTCGGGGACCTGGTATTGTGTGGAGTGTGCACTGGAGGGGGAGAGGGGGGAAGTGGGAGGCGGGAAGCTGCCACAGCAGTACATGTGGGAGATGGGGGCGATCTGGGCCCGGGGGCCGTGCGGGTGGAGTGAAGTGGATACATGAGAGAGATGGTGGTGGCGTCCTTGCCCGGGACCTCTGTTGAACTGGTTGGAGGGTGGGGAGAGGGAGAAGAGGATCCAAGGATGACTTGTTGGTATATGTCAAGTTATGGATGAAGGGAAAGCCTGGGGGGCGGGGGGGCAAGCTTTTGTAGGGGACAGAATCAAGGTCATTTTGGGCATGCTGAGACATAAATTTGAGAGTCATTTGCATAAAGATGGTATAGTAGTTTATCAGGCTGGATGAGGTCATCCAGAGAGAGGGAAGAGAGAGGAGGACTTGGACAGGCCCCTGAGGAAGCCCAGCCCTGAGAGTCTGGGGGAGGAGCAGGACGTGTTAGAGAGGACCAGGAGTTGAGAGGAGGCTGCTCTAAGGAAATGGCCAATCCCAAGTGCTTATGAGAGTTTCAGTAAAATGAGGGCGGAACTGTCCGTTGGATTGAGAGCGTGAGGTTTTGATGACCTTGATGGGAATGCTTTAAGGAAGGGATGGGAGTGGGAGGCAGACTGGAGCTGGTTGAGTGAATGGGAAGTGGGGGCGGACAGTGTGAGCAGTTGTCCTAAAGGGATCTGGGGAGATGGCACGATGACTGGAGAGGGCTGGGGGTCATGGGGTGTGGTTCTGGGGGGAGCGAGAGCATGTTTTTGTTGATGGGAACAGTCAAGGTGGAGTGTGGAGAGAGATGGTGTGGGGATGGGGGAGCGGGGTTACTGAAGGGGCACAGTCCATGGAAAATGAGGAGGGATAGGAGGGATGGCCCTCAGATGGGAGGAGGGACAGTCCTGCAGCATAGTAGGCTCAGGAAGAAGAGGATGGGAAAAGTATAGGGGTGAGGAGGGCTAAATGAATGGGATGATGAAGTTTGAGTCTCTTCTTGGTGAAATGAAGTGAGACCATCAGCTGGATGTGGGTGGAGGATGTTTTCAGAAGGTATGAAGTAGTCATTCATCTTGGCATGGAAAAACAAGTCATTTAAAGAAACAGCAGAATGCCAGGGCAGGGTAGAGCTATGAGACTGTCAGTTTAGAGTAGGAATCTAGGCACTCAGGTGTGTCGGGGGTGTGTGGGTGTGTGCCTGCACACACACGCACATGTTTTCCGCCTCATCGGTGTTCAGTGAGGGTGAAGACACTTGATGCAGAGTTGGGGTTTTGCCAGAGGACTACAAGGCAGGGAGAGAGAGGCGAGGCAGTTAAGATTATGGGAGAAATTATAATGATGGACTGTGGAGTATAAAGTTTAATCTGAATAAGATGGGAAATGAAGATAGGAGGTAACTTCAGAGGGTCAGCAAATTGGAAGTCTTGATGAGGTAGAACTCCAACACGGGGTAGGGTGTGGCAAGGGGTATTTGGGCCAGAAAGGGGTGTTTTTGAAACTGAGAGGTGGAGCAGTCACAGGTAAAGTCAAGGTCATATGGGTGATGAAGCAGAAACATAGATGTTGGAGAAGGTAGTGTGAACTAGGAGCACACATCCTCTGTGAACAAGAGGAGTGACCGAAAGGCCAGTGACAGCTGCCGGGAGGGGATAGTGGGCATGACAGGACACAGGAGCCTCTGAGGAGAGGGGCTTTTGAAGAGGGAGGGGTGAGTAGTGGTCTGCACGGCAACAGAGAGCGGTGTGGGCCCCAGTGTCGGTTCTTGGCCTTTGAAGGGGGTGGGGCGGGGGCGGGGGAGCAGCGGCAGAGATCACCTAGGTCCCTAGAGAGATGGTGACTCTGTCTTTTTTCTCCTAACCTCGCCCTGATCCTTCTGTAAACTCTGTCTAGACAACTCAGGGTAGGCAGGCTGGAGGGAATGGACACTGGAGGGCCTCCTAGGGCACAGCCTGTACCACCTTCATCTGTGCTCTATATCACGGAGCCCTCAGCTCGCCTCTGCAAGGGAGGCGAGGACCCTGACACCAGGAGAGATTGGAGTAACTCGCCACGATTGCCCCGCTAACAGATCCCTGACCTCAGGCTCCGGCCTAGGCAGGTCTGCACCAAGCTCATTGTCAGATGTGATCTGGTCCAACCTCACACGCGTCTGAACAGCACCTTACTGTGCTTCATCTGACTGCTTGGACGTTCCAGCAGCGAGTCTCGGTGCCTCCTGTCAGTTCAGTTGTCTGATTTATTTATTTATTTATTTATTTTTACTAAATCTCCTTATTTTTTAGGTTTCCGGTGACTGTTGAGGGGGAGAGTCCATGACTTCCCTCTGTCATCCTGCAAACCGTCCCTCCCAGTCAGTAGGTCATGCCTCAGTGAGCCGTCCTGAAAATGTTCCCGTTCTGTGGCTTGAGTCCCTGTCACTCGCCTCCTCCTTCCAGTCAGGCAGGCAGGGGAGGTGGTGCCAGCTCAGCCCCTGGTTTCTGCCCCCTCTCCCATTAGCACGCTGCTGCAGGATAAGGAAACCCGGACATGTTGCCCACGGAGGATTTCCTTGGCCTCGTTAAAACCAATCATTGGGGAAGAGAGAAGATGGGAGGCTTCGGAGCAGTCCTCGCCCCCCACTAGCTGCCGTGGTGACTCTCAGCTGGCACTTGACCTTTTCCTTATCCGAAATCCTGGGCTTGCGGCTCCCATGGTGAGGGTTAGACGAGGCAGCACTTGCACTGTCTCGGTACCTGATGCGTCCAAGTTTCACTTCCTGCCTGTTGGCACATTTTGTTTCTTGGAAGGTGAGTGGCCCAGGCTTCTCTGTTTCTGCCTTTCTCAGCATAGTCAGCAGGATGTTCACACTTCTCAGTCCTATGCTTTTTCCTTGAGGATGCCACTGCTGGTGCTGAGTTAACACTTTTGGCCCCGTGCTGTCCTGAGCCAGTCTTCCTTGGTTATCGAGTTTCTGGCAAAGCTGCTGCTTTTAGGCAGAAAGATTTGAGGCAACAGTGGCTGCCTCCTTCCCCGGTTACTCGGGCCTTCAGAGACTGCTGAGTGAAACAGAGCAGGGCAAAGGTAGAGAAGAGGGAGGGAATGTTTTCTATGAGTTTCAGTTTATTGCACAGAAAACAGATTTTTTTTTTTAAACCCTCTACCCCAAACAGACAAATGAACAGGAGAAAAAAAAATAGAGGAAAAAACATTTTATCTATGATGAAATTAGTGAACGGCATCAGAATTTGAGCCAAACTAAAAGATGCTGGGCCTTGACCCACCTCAGAGAGGAGCAGAAGAGCAGGAGGTGGGGTGATTGTGTTTAGAACACAATCAATTCTGAGGAAGAGGGACCGGGGGCATGGGCAGGGCAGAAGAAAAAGAAAAACACCCATCATGGACTTAAGGCCACAGAAAACTCCCTGAAAGAGAAGACATGTGGCCTTGCCCCTGGTCCCCCACTTCCTATCTGATTCGACTAGAATGTGACCCTCATGTCCCCACAGTGGTAGAGGCAGAAGGGCAGAGAGACGAGACCACCTTACAGGCATCTCTCACACTTGCAAAGCGACA